CACTTATGCAACTGTATGGTTTCTTTGTGTAGATGCGGGTCAGGATGTGCAGATGATCGAACAAAATGTCAAAGAGGAATTTAGTGAACATCATGTTTTAAAGGCAACAAATAGAAATGGGCATTGAATGGTGACCTTATATAAAGGTGTAAATTTGGGGCAATCCTGGCATTGCCTGCATGGGTTGTTATGGATATCAAGTCTATATTTTTTATATAGGGGAAAATATCATTAAATGGACAGATGTCCACCACACAACTGTTTATGTTTGCATGTGAAGTCACATTTAAACATGAAAGGAATGTAAGAGAAATGGGACAGGAACTGCTTTGTTGGATCTGGGCTTTTGTGACTCAAGATTCAGTAAGGGATAAGTTGGCTGTGTCTGTTCAGAGGACAGAAAGAAACTTTGGAAGGTTTGGAAATCCTCTTTTTTCAGCCAGGTGACCCCCCCCCCCCACACACACACACCTGATATGTAGTGCCAGCATTGTGTAGTGGTTAGAGTGCTGGGCTGGAACACAGGAGAGCTGGGTTCAAGTTACTTGTCAGCCATGAAACTCACTTTGGGCCAGTCGCTATCAAAGTAACCCACCTCACAGGGTTGTTGTAAGGATAAAATGGAGTGGAGGAAGAGGAGCATCATGGATGCTGCCTTGGGCTCCTTGGAGAATAGGTCAATTATAAATGTAATAAATAAATGACTGGAACAACCCATCTCAGAAAAAAAATAGGTCAGTGCCTCCAGTTTGGGTACACACTTGGACTGTTGCCCAGAGGTTGTGAAGTGCTAGATCTGGCCGGTTCAGTTGAACGTGAAAAGCACTTTATGGCCATTGTCTTTATTTTTTGCTCAAGCCCTTTGCCTGCCATCTAGCCCAGACTGGCCAGCATTTCATGAAGACCTGACTGGTTGCTCATAAGGGATTCCCACTGTCCTCTTTCTCTTTTCCTGATGCTTAGCTGAGATCAGCTTTGCATAATAAGGAAATGCTTGTTCTAATTTTGAAACGATTTGGTTACTTTCCAAACAAGCAAGCCCACCATGCCATCAATTTAGTGAATAAATCTTTCAAATCAGATCTCAGTAATGAAGCGTGGTTAGTATAGATCGAAGCTGCAACTTGGGCGCCACCTGTTCAGGAACTCCACTATGTTCAATATTCATTTTCTCTCTCCATCGCTATCTGGCTAAAAATAAAAATGCCCCACAAGAGATTAATAACTTCTCTGGACTTCTAGCAGCACCTCATGCCCCTGTATCACCTCGGCTGGGACGGCATGCTTTGTGCGGTACAGCCAGTGTACTGCTTTTTGGTGTTTCCTCCCAAATAAGCTGCTTACTGCTTTCCACCGCCCCCCCTCCACTTTTCAAGCAAAAAGCACTTGCAGAAAACCGCAGTCCTGAAGACAAAACTATCTGGGAGACTTTATTTGTAGGTGGGGGTTACACAACCCAGATAATTTCCTCCACTGTGGGGGGGGGGCGGTGTATGATTTTGGGCAGAAAAATGGGCTGAGTTAAGTATTCCTTGCCCCTTATGAGCCCCCAGGCCAAACCTCCAGTGGTTATGTTTGCCTTACCATAGCAATATAATAATTAGGAGACACGAACACACAATTGTGTGCTGCGGTTTTAGCTACGGTGTGTTGCTTTGAAAAGAGTATCTGGGAACCCTCTCCACCTAAAACAACATGGAGTTGTGTAGCACCAGGCTGTTGTTTGTGAGGAGCTGCAAGTTGGTAGAATAAAACCAAAGTGAAATGAACTGTTCCAGCAGAGTGTTTGTTTGAGACCCTCGCCTGCTTGTATTTGGCCGCTCATCCATGGCCAGCAGACTTGTGCAGGGGGGCCTGGGGGCAGAGGAGGAGGGAGGCATCCAGATTTAGCTCCTCTTCTGAGCTGGTCCCATGGCATTTTGTACCTCTGGTTTCCTTCCATCACACATCACTGTGCTGGCAAGCATGACCTCAAAATAGCACCTATACTCACAATGCTTCTTCCACTGTCTGGTGCAAATCCATGAACTCTCTTGCCCTGCCCAGTTTTTGCCACTTTTTTTCTTCTAACCAAGATGCCAGGTATTTCTTTCCACTTTTTTTGCATAAGCACCGTATTCATCGGGTACATTCTTTATTTAGCTTCTAATGTAATTCTACCTCTGGCATACAGACATACTAAGGCACCGCTGTTGAGCCCGACCATTCGTTCTTCCAGTGCGGAGCTTTTTATTCCGGCAGTGGCTCCTCAAGGCATCAAGCAGCAGACTTCTCTGCCCTGCTACCTGAGCTGCTTTGAGTGGGAGACGCGCCTCATACCTGTGCATGTATTGCTGTACACAAGACACCTGTCGTGTGCCCAGACAAGGCCATTCTCGTTCCCCCCAAGCACTTCCGAGCCCCCGAAGAGCCCCACTTTCTCTCCTGCACAACGCTTGCACAAGCATGGTTGGGAAGCGCCATGTTGAAGCCACGCTCCTGGTGGGGTGGCCCTTTCTGGTGCTTTGGCATTTCATCTCAGTCAAAGCAGTTGCTGCAAGACCTGTTAAGATGAAAGCCCTGCCTGGATGAAATGGGTTGAGACCCAGTTAAAACTGCACCACGGCCCATGTAAACATGCTGGATGACCACTGTCCCCACCTTCGATTGCTGTTATGTGTGCTGGACCAACTTGGTCAGTGTTAACCATCTGCTGTGTGTGTTCCTGCTTCATTTGTAGTGGTTGCTATGCATGATAAGGCCATAGACATGAGACCACTTTTGCTACAAAGTGCTTTGACTATAGTGGAGACTGTGATGTTTCCGTCCAGCCTCAGGTAGGAAGATTATTTGGCATCCCGGCCAAAATCCAACCCTTTGTGTGTCAAGCCTCAGTCAACAAACTGCTCAGCAGAGGCTGTAGACACATGCTGTTTTCCCCATGTGGATTTACTGGGGCGTATGAAAGAAACCTGCGTACATTCCTGAATACTGTGAGAGAGAGAAAGAGAGTTTGCTTGCAGCTTTATTAACATTTGCAGTTCTCTGCAAACCAGTGAACAACCATATTAGTATGTAACTTCCATTTTAGGCTAAGGAAAGCCTGCTTGCTTGCTAAACTCAGGGAGTGCTTGTGCTCCTAAACTACTGCTCTTCCTTGCATATCGAGAAACATGCAGTTTTTGCTTTTTGTAGAGGGGGAAAAAACCTCCTTCCCAGACAGGACAAATTGTTTGATTAATGGCACCCTAAATTCTTTCCCTTCCATCCTGCTACATTTGAGAAATCCATTAAAACATTAAATCTCTTTTGTCTTAATGGGAAGCCAGCATTGTTCTGTGACTCATAAGGTCACCGAGACCCCATTCATGCATTACCAATGTCGTGCGGCGGCAGGAACACTTCCCAGACTTCTGTGCCACAGCAAGTGGCTGTCTTTCGGATTATTTGGTTACTTCCCTTCCCAGTGTGAGCAGTGCTTGGATGGTGGAGAAAACCAAAGGCTGAGTGTCACTTGCCTGCTGTATCTCAACAGAATGGATGCTGGGAGCACTGTGGGGGCAGCAGAGCAGCAATGGAGAATACTGGAATCTTTTACTTGTGGAAGAAGCTGCTTTCATGGCTAGCCTTATTAGCAATCCTACCAATAAGAAGAGGGCTTGACTAATCTTCCCCTTGCAGTTGTGGAAGAGTAATTGATTTTCCATGTTTTATTCCTTTTTCTGGCATACCATGTCAAGAAAATGTGTTTGGTTTTGTGATAAATCCATGTCACAACTGCTTTGGTCGTCCAGTAGTACACGCCTCTGTTGGATTAGTAGGTTTCTGCCACTACCTTTTCTAGTTCTGGCCAGGGAAGAATTCCAAAGTGCCAAGACAACTGTCTGCCCAGGAGAGGCAGCAACCAGGTAAAATGTTCCCATGACTTGGGAAAAGGTAGCCTAGTCGCCTTCTTTTAAGTAGATTTGGTAACACAAAGAAGCAGCCTAGGCAGGTGGGACAAGAACTCTGCTTTGAATTTTGTTTGAATACTTACTCTCAAATCTCAGGTCCAAATTGAGAGGAAGACTATTATTAAAAGGAATTCAGTAGGGAGGCAAGAGAAAACAGACAGGAAAGAAGGGAATACAAGGAGGAACTTCAAAAACTGAACAAACTTGGAAAAAGCTTGGTAGGAAAACCTCTTGGACAAAAATACAATATGTAGCATTCTCTTGGGGAAGATTAAATGGGAGATCCTGCATGGTTCGGAGGTGAAGAGGTATCAAAAGGATAGAGAGATCTCGGTCTTTTTGTGGTGGTTTGTCAGGGGGCTAAGCATCCCAAGTGAACAAGTTATAAAGCGTCCCATGGTTACCATGTAGCCAGTATGTGCTTTCCCCACCTTTTAGTTTTGGGAGGTTGTCTACAAAAGGTCTGAGTTAAACAGGCACTCGCTCCGGCTATGTCTTGCTAACTTCATGAATCAAAAGGCCTCCTGTTCAGAGGAATGGTAGTCCATGGAAGGGATGTGTGTTGGCCTACAGAGAGTTGTGGCTGCCGAGGAGGCGTGCAGATAAAAGTGGGCCAGTACCGAGGGGTCCACCCTATGTACAGGCCTGTTCAGTGAATAGCGGGCATCCCGCCACCCCCACTCATTGCTCATTGAGGAGGAGAAAATTTTTCTTAACACTTTGAAAAAAACAGTACTTGAGTTTAGGTACTCTCTTTGCTCGTTCGAAGACATTTGCAGAGCAGGACAGTTTCTAAAACGCCAGTTTGCAAATATCACTTCCTGACTCTTCCCCACTCCCTTTAGTCATGCCTTTTCTACTGGATGGGGGTGGGAAGTGTGAAGAATGGAAAGAAATGGGTGAGCAAGGATGGTAAGATTAAAGAGCCCATGTGTTAAAAACAATGTTGAGAAGGCAGAATGAGCACAGATGGATTCAGCCGAGTGCTCTGAGGAGGAAGTTTGTATTGTATTCCAGTGGCAGGTGGGTGTCTCTGTAATTTAGCCTCTGCCTCTTTCCCCCCCGCAGCCTCCACCGGGACAGGAAGGGAGCTCCTCCAGCAGTGCTCCGTCAGCTGAGCAGCCTCCCAAGGGCCAGAGCTTTGTGCAGAACCACTTCCAGGCACAGTACAGGTAAGGCTGGATGGGAGGCCCAAGGGTTACTTACGGAGCCAGCAGCATCATTTTCTCCACCTTTGCAGTGGGGCCAGAAGGTTAAGAAAAAGAGACACTCCAGAACTGGGGACCAGAAAGTCCCCACCCCAAGGCAGAGCGCTGTGCTCGAGGATCTGGGTCCGACGAGTGAGGATACGCTTTTCTAGCATGCTTGTCTTGCATCAGTTACAGGAAGAAGTGTTAGGTGAATGAAAAGCAGTGCTTCAGCGGGGTTGGGGGGGGGGGACCAGAGCTGATCTGCTTGCTGGTTTGCTCACCAGGCTGCCAGGCACCTGCGCTGGTACCAGTGGCAGCACAGCATTCACAAGCCTTTCGCCGGTATGCTGCCTTGGGAGACAAGATGGTGCTCAGGGGTCTGGTTCGGAGCCAGATCTGTGCTCCTTGCACCGTCTCTATTTCCCCCTCCCTCTTCTTGGGTTCCATTCAATTTGCTCAGGACCAGCAGAAGTGCAGGGATGTAAGGAAAGCACACACCCCTATGCATACAATGGCGTGTTGCGCCAATGGTTTTCTTGGTGGCTGTGCTGGGGCCACACCCTGTTCCCGCTGCTGATGAAGTGGCAAAATGTGACAGAAGGTGCTGGGAGCATAATCCAGCTAGCAGATAAGGAACATGCTCCCTCTGGGCTTTGCTTACTTTCAGAATTTACATTTTTGTTTTATTTTTGTTATTTTTATCTTTTTGGCTGCAGCTGCCGATTTGGAAGCAGGCAGCCATGGATGGGGTGAGGCACATAGCCTGTGGCCGCATGTTACGCACCCCAGTTTTAGAGGAAATGTCCCTCTTTCCATCCATAACTAAATAAAGCAAAGGAAGGAAAGGCCTGTTGATGGAGTGTGGAGGAGGATGTGATACAGCTCTGCCGCCCCACTTCTTGTAGCCAGGGGTGTCTCGCTGCAACACAGCCTTGCAGATACAGCAACTCTTGGCTGTTTCGTTAGGCTGAGATGAGTGCAGGAGGAGGAGGGAGAGGAAGGCGCTGTGGCCTCCGTTTGGATGAGGCAACAAATGAGCACTCCCTCTGCTGCTGATACGGCTGTGTTGTGTCTCTGGAGGCGCAATGGACGCGCTGGGAGCTGAGCGAAGTTTGAGACTCCCAGTGCGAGGCTGTTCTCAGAGTTAGGACTTTAATCTCAGGTGCTTGCTGGAGCTTTTGCTTGTCACACCCTCCGCCCCTCTGCTGAATTGGGAGGCTTTGCTGCAGGCTACAGCTCTGCAGGCACCGGGTTGGGGACCCCTCTCTGGCAAGCGGGAGTGAGAATAGGGGCAGTGGGGAGTCAGCCGAGTGGTGCAGCCCCTGTCCAGGCACCGCTGCCCAGCTGATTCTCACTCCTGTCCCAAAGTGGCAAAGAGCTGCTCTTGCCAGGCGGCGCTCTGGTTCTGGCCTTGGTACCCTGATGGGTTGTGTCTTCCGGGTTTGGACACCACAACAAGCCAGTGTGGTATCTATAGAACAGACTGTTATTTCTGTCTGTCGTTTCTAAAAACCAGACGTACCATGCTGAAATAGTACAATGGGGTTCAGACAACACGACAGGCCAACAGTGGTAAAAACCCATTGTGGCTCATTGTGTCGTGTGAACCCACCCACTGTGTCCTGCTACATTAAAGCCGTGCTTGGTGTGGAATGCCTTTCTGTTCACATCTGTTGCTGCAAGGTGAAATGGGCCATTGGCATCACTCTGCTGTTTGTCTGCTACAAGATGCAGGTAACCCCTCAGTCCTCCAAAAAGGGGACTGGGTGGTGGACACGGCTACCGGTAATGCCTTGGAAAGGGAGTGAATCCATGGCCCAGGCAAGATGCTTTTGATGCTTGTGAAGAGAAGTGCTGTAATGAAAAGGGAGAAGTATTTCCAAGGGAGATTAGAAGGCCTTTAGTTGGGGGATGAAGTAGCTTAGAAGAACTAGTGTGTCGCAGTGGATTTTGGGAGGGTTAAGAACCCTTGAGCTGAGTTGTGCTCTAATGGAATCCAATAAACAGTCTCGGGTGCTGGAAGGTGGCATCAGAGAGGTGACATCCCAGGTTGTCCACTGTGCAGCGTGCAAGCTGAGGGAGCCAACAGCAGTTGTGGAGTCAGAATGAAACTGACAGCTGCTAACCAAAAAAGGCTGTCGCATTAAGGGCCAGAGCATGTCAACCAGGCTTTTGTTAGAGTAAGTGGCTTAAAGGTTTCGTTGTTAAATTTATTCCATTGCATACAAACCTCTGCAGCTTGCACTTAGAAAACTGAGCTCTGTAGACAGGGAAAGAACTAAGTGAGGCAAGTGTGCAACTATATTTGAGTGGTATACACTAGAAAATGACCTCAAGTGAACTCTACTACCTTTGCCAGAAACTGTGGAAGCTCATGCAGGCGGCAGTGGGTGTCATTTGAGGAGTGCACAGTCTCCCTCTGCCAACGAAACTGGAGCAAAGTCAGGCACACCATCTGTCTGAGTGCCCCATTTATCATTGTTGGTGGTTACTTAGTAGGCACTTAGTAGGCAAACCGCCCACCCCCAAATCTGCATAGTGTTTGTGTGAGTTGGGAGCAAAGACTGGGCTGTCCAAGGTGGCTTCCATCACATTTTAAATTGCAGTCAATATTGTTTAGCGGATAAAAAATGTCAGATTTGAACTTCGAAAACCTGGGTTACAATTGTTGCTCAGCAATGGATGATGAAAAATGAGAGGAATGTGCGTCTTAGTATTATCAACACTGACTGGCAGGAGAAGTTTCCAGGCGACACCAGGGATGGATGCCGGGGTCTGCCGCATGCGTGTACAAAAGCAGGTCCTCCACCACTGGGCTACACCCTTCCCCTGTAAAAAGTAATTAGCGGTTTCAGGTGGTTGATAATTAATGGAATTGCACTGTGGGAGCTAAATCCCTTCCCCTGCTCTGGTTGTTTAAAAGAAGAAAAAGAAAACGGAATCACTCATTTGAGCTTCTTTTGCAAAGCAAATATTTATTTGGGAATGTAGGAGGCTGCTGCTTCATCTAGCCCTGTATTGTCAACCCTGACTGGAAGCAACACTCCAGGCGTTCAGGCAGGAATTGGAGGTACCTGAACCAGTTAGCTTCTGCATGCGGAACAGGTACTGTGCCTCTGAGATACGGGGACACCTCCTTTAGAAGAGTGACTTACATGAATGGACCTCCGCAGAAGGTTATCCTTGGGAAAAGGAAATGGACGCTACAACTACCCATACGTTACCTCTTCAAGGCATTCGAGCTGTCACGCTGTGTGCGGTGCGGTCACCTGATTTCCTCATGAGCTGAACTTTGCTCCCGGACGCATGACTGAGTGATCCTGAGGCCAGCTTTAGCGTGTGCTTTGTGCTGAAGCTGTCTTTTAGACAAGCTAATAAGTGACTTAGCCAGGATTCCCACCGTCTCCTGGGGCTTGTTGTCCCTGAGGTGGCAAGTCAGTGTCTGGACTATGCCACTTGTACTGTGAACCTCTATTATTTTTTTAATCCTTGCATATAGAAATCTGGTATGGCAGGGAGAGGAGATGTGGCCTGACTTGCTTCCTGGAAGTTTTCATTGTGCAGGGATTTCTTTTAATACACAGAAGCCTCTACTTGCTGCCTGAACTAGTATGGTGCAGTCAGTTTTATGATCCTGTGAGAACTTAGACCTGAATCTTAGATCCATGATTATAAAAGGGGAATAATAATGCCCTTTATTATTACACAAAGGTTGTAAAAACTAGAAAAGGTTGAAAATGTTCCAAATGATCATTATTTGTCAACATAAAAGACAGCTCCAAAAATTCAGTCTACACCCCCATGTGATCCAGGATAGCACTGCACCGACTGGACAGGAGTCAGCTGTACTCCATGCCAGAGGGCTGCTAGGGTTCAGCCCCGCTTTCAGCATCCAGTGGTGCCCCTGAGGATACCTCTTCACCTTTATAAACGAATGGTTGCAGTAGGATAATGTACATCACTTGGAGGCATTAGCAAGGAAAGCAAAACATTCCCCTCGGCCCTTAGGAGGCCAAATGCTTATCGATGGATTCCACACAGAAAGTTGTGTTTCCCAGAGATCCTTGTATGAATCAAGTCTTCCCTTCCTTACATGCACAGCACCTGGCTAACCATGGATGCTTGGCTAGGTAGTGATGCTAAATATTCAGTGATCACGCAGTCTGCTCAAGAGAGGAGTTCCTGCGGAAGAGGCCCTCCGATCCAGGGCCTTGCAGCAATGGGAGGAGAAAGGCCATCAACACACCCTTTACAGGGGAGCAGACGACTGACTCCCCCCCCCCCCCCCCCCGCCCGTCCCGGCTTTCATTCTCCAGCCACAGATTTGCACTGCTTTGCTCTGCGGTGACATTGCAGCCATCTCCATGGCAACCCATTGTACCGTTTGAAAGGCTGGCTGGCGTGGTGGTAACTAGGCAAATGCAGGCGAAACACACCCGTGATCGCGATGGTTGCTTGGACTGACTCTGGAATTCGCTCCTTCAGCTCCTGCTAACAGCCATACGCGGGACCTCACCTGGAGTACGAAGAGCCCATGGGAGAAGCTTCCCCGAGCCGTGCTTTGCAGTGAGCTGCGTGCTGCCTCCCATGTTGCGTTCCTTGAGTAAAAATATGCTTTTGGACAGGAAATTGGAATGACCCCATGTGCTGAAGGTGCTGTGAAAGTGCTTTGCCCTCCGAATCGAATTCTTTTATTTTTTCGGAGTGGGGGGAACTCTATTTCCTAGCGTGACAGAGCCAGCTCAGAAGCTGACAGAAGCGCATTGCTCCAGCAGGGCGGTTAGATGCATGGGCTTGAACCAGTGCCATGTGTGAATACCATGGCTTTGTGTTGAAGGATAACATTTGCCATCCTGAGAATTTAGCTTTTTCTTGGCTGGCAGAATATCTCTGAAGCCAGGGTTCCTAGAGCTGGAGAAGCCCTCAGAGGTCCTCTGGTCCAGTATCCTGGATACTGGTCCAGTATCCAGCACTACGGCATC